TATATATATATATATATATATATATATATATATATATATATATATATATATATATATATATATATATATATATATATATATATATATATATATATATATATATATATATATATATATATATATATATATATATATATATATATATATATATATATATATATATATATATATATATATATATATATATAAATACAAAGAGGCCCTGCAGTGGATGAATTGCCCTGGGCCCCGCACCCCCCTAGGGACGTCTCTGACTGCACTGTATCGTATTACAATTTAAGTTCTTGAGAGAATCACTCTCTATAAAGAGCAATAAAAGATATCCCTGTTAGCTGGAATTATTGATGCAGATCTTTTCTGGGGATGAGAGATTTCTGGGTAAAAGGACGACTTTCCCAAAATCAGAAAAATCCCACACTCCCAGAATTTTTCGGCTACTGGTAAAAGTTTTTGAGAGTTTAAACATTATTTCGTCCTCGGAGACACGAGAAAAAAATTGAAGAGTTTCCGGAAGTTTGCTCAACATTTTCCAGAAAATGCACCTGATATTAAACCTCAGAATTTGCTCCCAGACATAAAAAAAATATTTTAAAGAAATTTTTGAGAAATGTTCCAAAAAATGCTACTCATTTTCAACCTCTGAAACTCATTCACAGACCTGGAATGGAGAGAATTGTCCTGGAAAAATTCTGAGCCAATTTCAATTCTGGATATTGGAGAAGTTGACGGATGTATCCCTCGGACGGCCTGTACCTCCCGGTGAACTCCTCCTCCGGCACATAAGCAAAAGGATTTTGACGCCCTCTAATAAAAATCCTCGGTAGCCTGACAGCATTAGCCTGATCTCCATACATGAGTGTTATAATGACTGCCTTAAAAAATAAATAAAAATAATAATATGCAGTAATTACTATAATTAAGTAAATTAATTTTGATAACAGTCTCTAGCTCGTTCCTTGAAATTTTGGTCGTAATTTAAAAATTCCGAAAGGACGAAACTCCACAACCAGGGATTCATAACATGTCTGTACTCTTGAAGATGACAACACTTCCTGCAGCTCTTTACAGTCCGTTTGGTTTTTAATTTCCCTGAATAACTTGGCACCAACCGCTAACATTTGTATGGAGAAATGTTGTCTTCTGGCTGTACAGTACATTATGAAACAAACAACAGACCCATTAATCACTACACACTGCTTACTTACAGTCAGGGAACTTCCCTCAATCTCGTACCCTTCCGGTTTAGTTCTCGGCCTTTCGTGTGGTACGCTGTCGAAAGCTTTGGCAAAATTTAGGCACAGTAATATCTCCCTTAGCCGGAATCCCTCTAACCTGGAACTCTCCGATTGCTGGAATTGAAGTTTTCTCGGAAAATTGTTACCGAAGCCGGAATTTTTCGGAAAAATCCGGCTTCGGGAAAAATGTTTCCGGGGGGCACATTTTGCGGAACATTCCGAAAAATTTTCCTGATACCCAGAAAATTACGGGGATGAGAGATTTTTTCCGGCTTTGAGAGAGTCGTCTCGTTACCCGGAAATCTCTCATTCCCGGAAGAGCTCTGCACCAATTGTTCCGGCTAACGGGGATAACACCATACAGCTCCTCCCCGACTTACAGAGGGGTCAGGTACCCAAATCCAGGTCGTAAGTCGAAATTGTCATGTTGAAAATGCTTCAATAATAGTACATAGAAAATCTAAAATGGGTGTCTCGTTTTCTTCTCAGCACCACAAAACTCTCACTTTTAAGCTTGCCAGCCATTTTAAAGTGAATTACAAACAAAAATTTTGTCAGTACACAGCGCAATCACTGACGTTGGGACTCGAAAATACGTAATTTGACAAAATTTTTGGTACGACTGAGGCGGTAGTATGTCCGGGTGGTCGTAGGTCGGGCGTAGCTGTGTATTGTCGATATTGCCACCGTGACGGAATTTGAGTCCAAACATCCAATACCTTAAGCAATTGTTGAGCAGGAGAGCCCCAGCATAAAACCGTGTTGGCAGTCCTTTACAAGTAGTAGATGTTCCATCATGGTTCTCTTACTGTATAATGCTCTCAAATACATTGCACACTATGCTGGTCAGGCTCACCGGTCTATAATTATTCCGTGGAGTGACGATCGCCCTTCTTGAAGATAGGACTCGCATAAGCCATTTTCAAAACACTGGGGACCTTTTGCTCATCCAGGCATTTACACAAGAGGATCTTCAGGGGCTCAGCAAGCTCGTTGCTTGACTCTCTTAGCACTCTAGGATGCACCATGTCAGAGCTGGGACTCTTATGGACCTTTAGCTTTGACAATTTATTTCTTATACCCTCTTCTGGGTTATAGTGTACAGTACTGTGTTAGCTCTTGCTGCTATATACTTTCACTTGCTATTGTCTATATTTCATTTTAAACTTTTAACAGCTGTAATTAACAAGAGGGAGGATGGGGCTTATAACACCCCTGAGCAGCCATAACTTTGTGTGACCATACATCTTCAAACATGGCCGTGTTCATTGTCGCCAATTTTGTTTCGAGTATTAAATCACAGCAAAAAATTGCGTCGTAGCTCAAGTCATGACCAACTCAGAGAGATGGGATGTCTTAAATGTTTTTAAGTATCCAGCACTTTGGACTGAACTAATAGCCTCTGACAGAGTTACTGGTGGAACCCTTGACTCCCCACACTCCCTGCCTCCACCACCCAACTCCTACTCTGGAGTTGTTGGTAGTCCAATTATTACAGACAATTTACAGAGGAGAATAATGATGTGTCCTCTCATTTCTATGAGATTATTATAATGACAATACAAATATAAGCGAGGCTCAGTATTTCAAGCAACAGTCACGAACTTATGAAGTAAAATCATATTTGGTTTGATAATAATAATCCATTATCTGGTAACTGTATCACATAGGCAGACTCAGTCAGCGTCGGCGGAGCACTAATATAGACACTGTACGTATCAGAGTAGTAGTATAAGGTGTAACAATTAAAACAGTCACAATGTGTAGAAAAGGACATTTATTATAAATAACACTTAATAATGTGAACAAATAGCGAAGACTGAACCATTTCTCCAGCAACTCTGCACGACATAGAAACTTTATTATATAACACCTTTAAGCAACAGTTATATTGCTTTTGTCATAATTTCCACAGTTGATAGTAGTACAGTAATACTAACGGTCATTTTTTTTTACCCATTTAACATCAGCGTTTGGCACAACTGTTGTTTCTATACTGAACTGCTGCCAACTGAACTATTTTTGTTCATGTCAAGTTTGTATTACAATAAATATGTGTTGCCCACTTCCTGATTGTTTTGATTATTAATAATTCCTTCAGTACAATGTCTTCTTAACCATTTTAATCTGGCTACCACTAGATGATTTTATTCAGCTGGGTAAGTTCCATCTTGTAGCCAAGGGTTTAAACAAAACTTGGCTGCTCCTACAGGATATAGTCAAACTTATCCTTAATCCATTTGCTCATAAATGCTTCCTCATGCAAAGGAACACCTTACTTAGAACATGTATTCATCCTATTGTCAATGAATTATTCTGCATTGTTATCTCTCCTAACTGATATACCGTGCACTTTCCCTCCTCACCCCCAGTACAGAACCCTGTTTCACTCCCAGAGAAAGACACCTACCCCGACACCCCTTCCCTCCCCCTCCCGCTCACTAGCAAATACTTCCAATTCACACTTCAGAACTCAGGGTTTATACCTCAGGGGGAGCGAGGATGGGGCAATGCTATGTGGTATACACAGGAGTGGAGCCAACTGTATATGCATTAAAACAAACCACAAACACTCAAGTCATTTTTTATGCATACATGACAACAGGAAGATGGTGTGGCTGCCAGTACCAAACATACATTCAGTAATATTTCACTTATATTCACAGTATAGTATATTCTTTTTCTTATACATATCTCTCCAGTGTGCTGTTACCTTACACATTAATTTGTTTTAAAAATAATGGAGAAAATACAAATGACTGTAGAGAATGTGAGTACATGGGTCAGGTAAGCAGAGGCTGCCCTGCCAGTATGAGTGAATGGGACATGCACTTAACTGGGAGTAAAATTGACAGTCCACTTTGATGAAATGAGTTAATAACTGTATTGTTGCTGTGAGTTGTACAGTCAACTTGTACCACCTGGTCCAGTCTTCTTGTTCCTACTTGTACACTTTGGAACTTTTCCAACTGTTACAGTCAGCATTGTCAATCCAACTTCTCTATGAGGTGTAAACCCCTGAAGTATTGACTAGTGAAACAGAAGCATTATTAAAGGCAGTAGGCTGCTACCAAACAGGGAGGCACTACCACCTGGGAAGATATTGGAAGCATTATGTGTTGTCTAATGGTAGACCCTGCTGCCATATGTGACCAAGTCCCAGGTTGATGATCTGTCTTTCTGCCTCATTTACACACAATTGTTTCTCTTACTTTGTCAACAATATATATATATATATATATATATATATATATATATATATATATATATATATATATATATATATATATATATATATATATATATATATATATATATATATATATATATATATACACACACACACAGTAAGTTCTCGCTTAACATCTGGGTTACATTCCTAAAAATGTGACGTTATAAGAAACAACGTTAAGTGGATAAATTTTCCCCATAAGAAATAGATAAAATACAGGAGTTACGTTCCTGAGCCTCCTTTTGACCCGTGAAATACATAACATACACATAAAATCATTGCCATTTCTATAAGAAATAGTACATACATATACAACTACTAAGTTTATATTGGTACTGTACTCGCCGATGGGTGGAGGTGGTAGAGCAGGTGTGTGATGGGTAGTGGAGCGGAGGAGGCGGAGGGAGGGAGGGGAGGAGGAGGGAGGGGAGGAGGAGGTGGGGAGGAGGAGGAGGGGTGGGAGGGAGGAGGAGGAGGAGGTGGGAGGGAGGATGGAGGGAGGAGGGAGGAGGAGGAGGAGGGAGGAGGGAGGAGGAGGGGAGAAGGGAGGGTGGTGAGTCTCTGGTACGAGGCAAGAGAGTGTAGCGCTGCCAGACAATGGGGGTGATGCGCCGTAGACAGTAGTCCGTGACGACACATAACGACGTAGTACCGAAACAACGCTTAGCGGGACGACGTTAAGTGAGGATTTACTGTAGTATATTATTTCTCATTCTTTATTTAATTTTGTTTTCTTCAATTTCTGTATTTATTTTTGGTTCAATCTCCGCCCCTTAGGCCCCGGCGTGGGTCGGTTACCTGCGCCCAGATGGGTTAGTCCTCGTAAGAAAACCCTAATCTAGGGTTGATAAGGGATGGCCTTTTACAGCTTTCATGACCCAATAAATAATAGATGCCTTTAATCATATCAAACATTAACATCAAAATATTAATCTCGTATAATAATACGCGAGCGCGTGCTTCTCGTCCGTCCATAACACACCGGGACAGTTCCCAGTGAAATATATTACCCGAATAAAGTTAGGTCGGGGGAGGGTGCGTCAGGCATGAAAATCATTGGCGTTAAGTCTACAAATATAACATTATTACATTGGCCTCTTTATACCATACAAAACATCCCTAAATGGGGGTTGAATAACTTCATCAGCAACTGAGTGCGCCCAATGCCACATTGCCATTAATTTTGTGATCGTTTTAATTTTGCATTAACCGAGTAGAAAAAATAGTGACTATAAACACTTGAGGGATCCCAGTGTTGTCACCAAGTTTGATAAAAATCAGTAAAGCAATATTGTCACCTTACGGACGTGTGGTTTGGAACACAAGCCAAATACTGCCCATTAGAAGAAGGGCTCGATGGTGTTATTATATAGAGTACTGGCAGTATATATTGGTTTCTTGGAAGGGGGACACATTATGTTACAAAGAAATATGTGTTTTTTGGTCAATGACCTGTTCCCCCATAGTGGCCAATGACCTGTTCCCCCATAGTGGCCAATGACCTGTTCCCCCATAGTGGCCAATGACCTGTTCCCCCATAGTGGCCAATGACCTGTTCCCCCATAGTGGCCAATGACCTGTTCCCCCATAGTGGCCAATGACCTGTTCCATAGTGGCCAATGACCTGTTCCCCCATAGTGGCCAATGACCTGTTCCCCCATAGTGGCCAATGACCTGTTCCCCCATAGTGGTCAATGACCTGTTCCCCCATAGTGGCCAATGACCTGTTCCCCCATAGTGGCCAATGACCTGTTCCCCGGCAGGCCACGACCTGTTCCCCATAGGGCCAATGACCTGTTCCCCCATAGTGCCACGACCTGTTCCCCATAGTGGTCAATGGACCTGTTCCCATAGTGGCCAAATAATCTGTTCCCTCATAGTGCTGACCTGTTCCCCCATAGTGCCAATGACCTGTTACCCCAAGCAGGTCAACACCTGTTCCATAGTGGCCAATGACCTGTTCTACAGTGGCCAATGACCTGTTCCCACAGTGGCTACAATGACCTGTTCCCCCATAGTGGCCAATGACCTGTTCCCCCACAGTGGCCAATGACCTGTTCCCCATAGTGGCCAACACCTGTTTCCCCATAGTGGCCACGACCTGTTCCCCCATAGTGGCCAATGACCTGTTCCCCATAGTGCCAAATGACCACTGTTAGTGCCAATGACCTGTTCCCCCATAGTGGCCAATGACCTGTTCCTCACAGGCTGTACGACCTGTTCTCCCATAGTGGCCAATGACCTGTTCCCCATAGTGGCCAATGACCGTTCCCCATAGGCTTAATGACCTGTTCCCCCATAGTGGCCAATGACCTGTTCCCCCATAGTGGCCAATGACCTGTTCCCCCATAGTGGCCAATGACCTGTTCCCCCATAGTGGCCAATGACCTGTTCCCCCATAGTGTGGTAATACATCATGCCAAAATATTGATGAGTGACTCAGTTGCCACCAGCGGTATATAATAATCAATCTTCATGTTCTTTACCTCATTCTATATCATATGTGGTGGTCAGGAGTGCGTGGGTCAGGGGCTGAGGGTCGTCAGGTTCCTGCTAATAGATACTATAGTAATTTGCCATAGAAACAAACCCAGAAAGTTGTCACACACATTTATTATAAATAACAGTACCTAATGTGTATTCGCCACCTCTTGGTTCCACCATGACCAGATATACCAAATCCACACAACCTGAGGTGTTCTCTATTGACTGCTGGTGTATTAAACTTGAAGGTAATATACATAAATAATACATCCGATAATTCCTAACCCAATATTATTGCAGCGTCGTCCGGAAGTGAGACGCGCACTGTCGGAAACATTCTAATTTGGCAACTGTCGAGTTACTCGGCGAGACGCGAGGTGCACGCGGCAACCTGGAACGAGGAGGATATTTTAAAAAGACCTAATATAATTTTATCATCATAGTAAGTGATCCAGCAGCGTCGACGATTCACAGGCTTTTTCATTTACAAGTGTTCTCATAGATTAATTGATGTAGTTATCACCCGAGCAGCATGTGGACCTAACCTTTGCCAGTCAGTCACAGGGGGGTTTGCTTCTGTTATTATTAACGATACGAGTTATTATCGTCATATGATATTTAAACTTATGAAGTACTGTATTTTGAAAGAATTTCTGGTCACAACTGAAATTAAATTGATGTAAATGTAGGGGTAAGAATAAGTTACACCTAGTGGGCGTGGTCTGCCCCCCACACAGTATAGTAAGTAATGGTCGGCCCTCGTGTTGGAGGACGGCCGGCCCTAGAGCCACCTAGGTGCGAATCTGTTGAAGGTGTAGAAGCTGTCGCCAACACATCTTCTTGTGGCGTAGATTAATATAATATTTTAATTTCTTTTTACTCTTATTTTTTGCCACCCCCACCACCCCCCCCCCCAGGCCCCGTTGCGGGTTGATGACATGTGCCCGGGTGGGCTATTCCCCGTAAAAAAAGTGAACGAGCTGCATGACCCAGTGTCAAGGAATAGTCCAAGAAGACAGGACAGCTCGCCATCTGCACAGGCTAACCATTACTCTGGAACACGATCACAAATCAATTAACATGCAAGTTCCCAATTACTGCTGGATAGACAGACAAATGGCCATAGCCTCACCCTGCCCGGGGGTCAAACCTGGGTCTAGTCGCTTGCGAGGCGAGCATGTTGACCATTACACACATCAACCTTCGCCTTGACAACACCGCCAAACACATCAACTCTACTCTCTAATATTAAAGTACAGTAATATTTCCGTCAGCCGCAATCCCTCAAACCAGGAACTCTCCAATAGCCGGAATTGAAATTTTCTCGGAAAATCGTTCCCAAAGCCGTAATTTTCCGGGAAATTCTAGCTTTGGAAACGATTTTCCGAGTGGCATATTTTCCGGAAAATTCTGAGAAATTTTTCCCGATACCCAGAAAATTCCGGGAGAGTTTTTTCCGGGTTTAAGAGATGAAATTAAAGCGCATTTTCTAGAAGTTCCGAGAAAATTTTCAGTTGCCCAAAAAATTCCGGGGACGAGGGATAGTTTTCCGGGTTTGAGAGAGTCGTCTCATTACCCGGAAATCTCTCATCCCCGGAAGTGCTCTGCACCAAGTGTTCCGGCTAATGGGGATATCACCGTACAAGGAACACATTTGACATATGATTGAATGTATACTTTTTCCATTACATATCAGTAACAGTGAATCTAAATGTTGTAAGCTCATCTAAAACCTCTAGTAATCAACCCTTAGGTCCCGGGTGACGTTCCAGAACGTCTGCCTATTCCTGCCACTTTTTTTATTAGTATTTTTGGAAAAGTTGATTTTACTATATTTATCCCCGCACGGGAGAGGGGGGGGGTACTACCAGGGGGGGGAGGGGGGGTACTACCAGGGAGGAAGGGGGGGTACTACCAGCAGCACTCTAACTCGGGGCTTAAGGCTCAGCAGCACTCTAACTCGGGGCTTAAGGCTCAGCAGCACTCTAACTCGGGGCCTAAGGCTCAGCAGCACTCTAACTCGGGGCTTATGGCTCAGCAGCACTCTAACTCGGGGCTTAAGACTCAGCAGAATATAATAAAGAAAGTGATTAACCAGCTCATAATGTTCCAGTTTATAATGATTAAGGATTTGTTTGATCAAAGACATTATAAAAATAACCATTTCCAGTTTATGTTCCAACTAAAAACTGGCAAACTACAGCAACTATCAGCTGAATCATCCTTGCTTAATGCGTCTTAATGTTAGACTACAACCCCCACGATCCAACAATTAACTTTGTATAAAAATCTATGAGTATCTATTCATAATTTCAAAACAAGATACAAGAACACCATAGTTCTGTGTTTTCTGCAGAGTTGGAAAGTAACTAAATAAATTTACTTTTTAAAAAGTACAGTACAGTGAGTTCTGCTATAACGCGTGTTTTGATAACGCGAATTTGCTCTAACGCGATTTATGAATTCGGAACAATATTTGTATAACGCGATCGCTTGTTTGCTATAACGCGATTTTTGCTTACTATTTCTCCAATTTTGTGGTATTAACTGTGAATATGGTAAAGAAGAATATCTCCAAAAAGCATTCTGATGATAGAATTCCCGGTGATTATCGTAAAAGAAAGGATATAACACTTGAAGAGAAGCTTGATGTTATCAACCTCAAAATCACCCTTCTCCCCCATCAAGTTACATTCATATTTTTTCAAGGTAAAGTGTTAAATTTACTGTATGATTTCATTATTAGATATGAATGTAACATTTATTTAGACTGTGCTATCCTTTGTGTTAGGCTAACTACTAAATTTTTTCGATTTCGAGTAAACTGCACCGAACCCTATTTTCTCCATAAGCCCTGTTATTTCTATTACGCGATTTTCTATAACACGATATTTTACAAGAACACAATTATCGCGTTATAGCAGAACTACCTGTACTCAAATTTTTTAGTAATTTTACTTAAGTAAGGTTTTCTAATACTTTTACTCCAATACAATTGAAAAAAACAAAAATCATTACTCGTTACATGACCCAAACAACGACTTGTAATGTCTGTGGCAAACTAATAATATATGTTTTTCTTTAGCCACAGTAAAAGAGTTGTGTGGGTGGAGGGTATGGTGTGGGGAGACACCATATACCTAGAGGTAGCGTGGCCATGACAGTGGACATTTCCTTTGATCTTCTTGTGTCCATTAACACCTGGACCACCCACCTCACCCAGTCTACCCCCCTTCCCTTCAGGGGCTTGGTCTTTCCATTAGACGTCAGTTGTTCTTCTCATATACCTGTACAGGTTGTACCTCTCTAGTCCGGCAACCTCGGGACCTGACCGGTGCAGGACAATGGAAATTCACCCTTTTCCTGGATAGATAGTGACTTGTGCTTACGCTTGGAAGCACTAGAACCACTTTCACTGCTTCGTGGTCTCTTTGAAAACATATTGAAGGGTTAAATGTTGTACAGTAGCTTCTTAAATTTCGCGAGTTTTTAATTCAACGTTTTTTATTTGGACACAAAAAAAACACTACACAATTAAAAATTTTGATGGTGGAAACTCGAATTTCGACGGGTTTAAGCGGCCCGCCAACGTTCAGACGAGCATAATCGTGTAAACAGCGTCATTTCTCTTATGTACAAAAGACTCATTATTGTTTATTACTGAATGTCTTTTTGATTGAATTAATGTTTATGTGTGCAAAATGAACAATACAATTCATTAATAATACGTAGAATATTAAAACACACGAGGAGACAAGACGGCATTGTTTTCGTTGTTTACAAAACCAGTGACTGACTGGTTCTACATATAAAACTGAAGAAAATAAGACCTTGGTTGTAGCTGTAGCAAAATTAATGTAAAAAAATTAATATGGTTGTTTTAAGTAATGTTATTTAATGTTAATAAATGGAACAATATAAGTAGCTAACCATTAATGGTAAAGAAAAAAGTGAGACTGCGCGTATGTAAGTGAGCACATGTGAAAACATATCGTCATTACTCTACATAAGAATATGAAAGCAACACTTATTTACTGCTCATATATATTTTAATTCATGTTTCTGAATTTAAAACATAAATTCTACCCACCAGTGGTGGTAAAGTTGAAAACATAAAGACAGCCAATGTTGTTGTGTGTGTTTTTACTCGGATGACGAAGTTGCCTAAGTCATCAGGTTCAACTCTAGCTGAAGCTGTAGAACATAAGAACTTTTCTGTGTTGTTTTTAGTTTTTATTTAACTTTATCTGTGTTATTTTCGTTGGTTTATTAGGATGTTGCTTTATTAGAGGCAGTAATTCGCCAAAAAAGTAGGGTAAATAAGGCAAAATTTAGCCAAACATCGAAAGTACCAGACTCAAATTAATTTTCTCCATGGGCAAACTAAAATCGTTCCGGACCACAGAATGCCGGACTAGAGAGGTACAACCTGTACCTAAACTGAATGGCTGTGATTCTAAAATGCTTAACATAATTCCATCATAGACATAAAGCCTGTATCAATGTGTGACACTGAGTGTATTTAAAATTATGCTCAAATATCTATGCACCACCCCCCCCACCAGATGTTACATGGTGAGAAAAATTCAGCCACTCATCAATTAAAATCAAAAAGTGACGTGACCACAGCCACATCCCAGTTGAGGGTGAGTCTTAGTCACACTCAGTCACTATGGAGGCATCAATCATCCACAAACTGCTCAACCGAAGGAGCTTGATAGCTGCTTGGCATGCCCAGGGGGTGGAATGTAGGGAGAGTGGTTGAACGTATTCTTATATTTAGGCTTAAAAGATCCGGATTGAACAACCATAATTTGAAGATACGTAGTTATTGATTAATGTTAATAGAAACATTTACAAATGCAAATGTGTAATGTTATGTCTTTTATTCTTATCTTTAGTTAACTAGTTTGGATTTATTTTAATATTTGGGATAATTAATAATTTTATTGTTACTTTTTACTTTCAGTACTTTTATTTATTTATTCTTTTTTTATGAGGGTAACAGCCCACCCGGACACAGGTCATCAACCCACATTGGGGCCTGGGGGAGGGGTGGAGGGGGAATATATGAATAAAAAGAAATTAAAATTAGAGAAGAAAAAGGTTATACTGTGTTAATCTACACCACGAAGATGCCGGAAAACCATCTTTATAAAGTGAGACAGATTGTATGAGTATGGAAACACAGAAGGCAGAGCATTCCACAGTTTGGCTGTGTGGGGACAGAAGGATGTACTGTAACGGGTTATAGTACTTTATGAATGAGATGCTTTTTTACTTCTACCTGAATACATTGATATTTGGATGCTTTTACTTCTACGTGAGAAACAATACTTTTACATAAGTAACAAAATCCAGTACTTTTTACATCTCTGGTTTCCTGCAACAATTTGTGTTCATTCCCATCAGTAAAGTTGTTATTTTTATTTTACCGTGGTACACATATTACCTTTGATGCATGTGCAGTAAACCGGCGATGACTCACCATGGACACGGTCTGGGAATGAACTCGGGAGATGATGAGATACTGTATATAAAATGATCTGGGAAAATCTTGGCATATCTGGCCACCTGCATCACCTACCATACCTGTGTCACCTACCATACCCCTGTGTCACCTACATCACCTCTGTGTCACCTACCATACCCCTGTGTCACCTACCATACCTGTCACCTGTCACCTACCATACCCCTGTGTCACCTACCATACCTGTGTAACATGCCACTGTGGCTACCATACCTTTGTCACCCAACATGCCCTGTGTCACTCTAATTACAACCCCAGTCACCCACCATACCTTGTCACCAACATGCCCTGTGTCACTCTACCATGCCCATTCCTTGTCACCCAACATGTCCTGTGTCACTTACCATGCCTGTGTCACTCCACTCACCTATGTCACCTAACATCCCCTGTGTCATACCTGTACACTTACCATGCCTGTGTCACCTACCATGCCCTGTGTCACCTGGCCATACATCTGTGTCACCCACATACCCTGTGTCACCCACTCATACCTTGTGTCACCCACCATCCCCAGAAACCCACCATCTGTGTGTCATCACATGCCCTGTGTCACCCACCATGCCCTCTGTGCCACCCACCACATCTGTGCTCACCCACCATACCTGTGAAACCCACCATACCAAGTGCAGAAGTCACCCACCATGTCACCCTCTGTGTCACCCACCATACCCCTACCACACCCACCATACCCACCCACCATACCTGTGAACCACCATACCTGTGTCACCCACATGCCTCTGTGTCACCCACCATGCCTCCATGGTGTCACCCACCATACCCGTGTCACCTGTGTCACCATACCTGTGTCACCCACCATACCTGTGAAACCCACCACACCTGTGTCACCCACCATGCCCTCTGTGTCACCCACCATGCCCCAGGCCACTCACCATACAATCTGTCACCCACCATACCCTTGTGTCACCCACCATACCCAGAACCCTATACACACCTGCAGTCACCCACCATGCCCCCATGTGTCACCCACCACACCTGTGTCACCCACCATACCTGTGTCATCCACTCATGCCTGTGTCACCCACCATACCCCTGTCACCCACCATGCCTGTGTCATCTACCATGCCTGTCACCCACCATACCCCTGTGTCACCCACTACACCTGTGTCATCCACCATGCCCTGTCACCCACCACCTCAGTCACCCACCATGTCACCCGTGTCACCTGTGCTCACCCATACCTGTCACCCACCATGCCTGTGTCACCCACCATGCCTCTGTGTCACCCACTATGTCTGTGTCACCTACTGTGCCTCTGTCATCTACCATACCTCTGTGTCAACCACCATGCCCTGTGCCACCCACCATGCCTCCTGTGTCAATCCACCATACCCTCTGCAGCCACTAAAGCATGCCCTGTGCCACCACCATACCCCCAGGTCACCCACCACGTGTCACCCACCATGCCCTGTGTCACCTACCATGCCCCTGTGTCACCCACCATGCCTCCAGGCCCACCATGCCTGTGCCACCCACCTCCTGTGTCTCCCACCACACCTGTGTCACCCCCATACCCCCTGTGTCACCTACATCACCTCCTGTGTCACCCACATACCCAGGTCACTTCACCATACCTGTGTCATCTACCATACCACCGGTCACCCACCATGTGTCACACCTCTGTGCCACCTACCATACCCTCTGTGCTCACCCAACATGCCCAGCTCACCCACCATAACCTGCAGGTCACCCACCATACCCAAAGGTCATCTAACCATCTGTCACCCACCATGCCTCTGTCATCTACTCATACCTGTGCCACTACCATGCCTCTGTCACCCACCATGCCCGTGTCAACTACCATGCCTGTCACCCACCATGCCCTGTGCCACCACCATGCCCTGTCACCCACCATGCCTCCTGTGCTCAACCACCATGCCTCTGTCATTCACCAACCACCTCCATGCCCTGTGCCACTACCATGCCTGGGTCACCCACCATGCCCTGTGTCACTACCATGCCTGTCACCCACACTGTCACCTACCATGCCTGTGTCACCTACCATGCCTGTGTCACCTACCATGCCTGTGTCACCTACCATGCCTGTGTCACCTACCATGCCTCTGTCATCTACCATGCCTGTGTCACCTACCATGCCTCTGTCATCTACCATGCCTCTGTCATCTACCATACCTCTGCCACTACCATGCCTGTGTCACCTACCATGACTCCGTGTCAACTACTAAGATACTTCATTCTTCGTCCCCTCATGTGCCGAGTTATCGAGGGTTTAGTGTACAGTATATACAGCCACTAATAAGCAGCCTTGATATATTATTGCAATCACATTAATCTAACACTATATAAGTTGCGCTGCGCCTGATACATTGCTTCATAACAACAGTTTTTTATCAGTAATCCTTGTAATCTCTTTTGGAAATAAATGTTTCAATAGTTTCAGTACATATTCAGTATAATCACTGTGTGCAATGCAATTTCAATTCATATGACTTATATCATTTACAAAAATATGTTCGTGATTTGTTGTCTACAGATATTTGGTTATTTTATTACTGGACATTGACTTTGTCAGAGTATCTTCTTGCTTCCAGTGTGGAGGAATAAATCTAGTATTAACTTGAACAAGACATTATTTCAATTGTAAGTTTGTATTTATACACATAATTTACAGCTTCAATCCCTAGTCTAAATTACTACTACATGCAGCCACCATCTTTTCCAACGGTGGTATTGTTAAACCTTAGTGTCAGGAGTATGGGCTCCTGTGATGAACCAATAAGTGGCAAACAAGTATTAAGTAATGAAACAGTCAGCAGTTCCCTCACAATTTCTACAAGTACTGCTCTTTACATTTTTGTCATTACCCATATCTAAAATTGTGCTACCACCTGATACTAAAGTTTAAGAATACAAACTCAACAGCTGTATTGTCAAGGTGAGGGTGTGTGTGTTTGGGAGGGCAGACCACCACCTAAATACTTATTGCTACTCCTAAATTTACATGGCCTTAATATCAGTGAAGACTAGAATATTCTTTCATTATATTTGGTAAGTGTAAATATAATGTTAGGATAATCACTATTATCATCAGAGACAGACACAAACCCCCCATGTTTGACCCGGCTGGTTCACATGCTAGTTAAGTGTACAGTATAAACCCCCATCCTACATGAATCAATGAGAGGATATGTAAACAAGAAACCATATAAAGCATTATTGTTGCTCAAATACATGTGTTATGTATTGGGTCATCAAAGTCACCCTGTCATAAAAGAACACATTTTTGAGCCTGTCCTCCTACACTACATGAGAGATGCATAACAAAATAACACTAAATAAATGTGCTCAGATCTGTAGCACAAGTTGGCAACACCACCCTAATGTGCAGTAAAACATTCAAGCATAATTTATGCTTTGTCCTACGTGTTTATGTCCTTCTTAATATGTACAGTACTGTTCTACCTTGTAACTGTTCTATCTTGTAACTGTACTACCTTGTAACTGTTCTACCTTGTAACTGTTCTACCTTGTAACTGTACTACCTTGTAACTGTTCTACCTTGTAACTGTACTACCTTGTAACTGTTCTACCTTGTAACTGTTCTACCTTGTAACTGTTCTACCTTGTAACTGTACAAGTAACATCTTAAACATTTCCCATCCCTCTAACCCATAACACCCTCCTCAACCACCTCTCCCCCCTTCACTCCTGAATGCTTCGGATTCACGAGTCGATACTCTCGGGGTTCACACTTCATGGATTGACAACGCAGGCTGTAACAGTTGGAAAAGTCCCCAACTGTACAATTGTTCTTTTTCTCTAATCCCATTTAGTCTGTATGATATTTGTAATTTCTTATTCTATTTGATATTACGGGTTCTGTTTGTTTAAATGTTCAGATACCACTGTGTTGATGGCACACCTGTACCTCTCACTGGTGGGTCCCACATAGTTGTGTAATGTGACAGACACAACCCTGCTCCTTATAGAGGGTGGATGTGCACTGAAAGTATTGCCAAGGTTGTACGCAGTAATATCTCCGCCAGGCGGAATCCCTCGAGCCCAGAACTCTCCGATGGCCGGAATTTAAGTTTTCTCGGAAAATCATTTCCAAGTCTGGAATTTTCCGGCTTTGGGAATGACTTTCCGAGGGCCACATTTTCTGGAAAATTCTGAGAACAATTTCCCAGTACCCAGAAAATTCCAGGGATTGGAGATATTTTCTCGGGTACGAGAGATGATGTAATGTGCAATTTCTGAAAGTTCCGAGAACATTTTTCCATTATCCAGAAAATTCCGGAGACGAGGGATTTCTTCCGGCTCTGAGAGAGTCGTCTCGTTACCCGGAAATCTCTCATTCCCGGAAATCTGCACCAATTGTCACGGCTAACGGAGATATCACCGCACTGCATTCCACAACGGTTCAGACATGTGGCGAGGAGGAAGAAGACCAACTGGATCAAGAGATACAAAAGCATGTTAAGAGGAGAACTAAGGAAAGAACAAGTGACAATTCGAGAGGCTGTGAATATGAACCGAGGGATAAGTACTGTACGCGACGAGACAGACTGCAACACCTCAAGTAGCCAACCCCCACAACGTGGATAATGGCTGTAAATGGTGATGAAGATCACATCCAGTGTTATTGTCTCCCAATATCTCTTGGCTCATTCACTCTCGGTTCTACTTAAAGGCCTTTTGTCCACACATGATGTCCTCTAATTAAAAGGGTGAAATAATGGGAAAGCGGCCATTGTGCTATTCATCATTATCATAAAGTGTGTGACAAAGCCACAGGTAACTGCTGTATGAGCCAGCTTCAAGACCAGTGTGTGGCAACAGTGTGTGGCATATGGTAGGAAATAGTTTTTGATGTACAGTATGGACTTCATATTGCTTTTTTTCCCTTGCTATATAAGATTATTGCAGTTACTTTTGTTTCCCTCTTCCATAAAAAAAATGGAAACACACACTAGGTTTAAAAAAAAAGTGAAAAGCCTACAAATGTAACCACAAGACAAGCTTGGAATTTCAATTTATCTTGTATTTTATCTATTTTAATTACACCTCGACATTTTTTTCATAAATGTACATAAGTTGAGTCTACCATGACTATCAATAACAGTTTCAGAATTCTTCCTTAACAAATTCTAGTTCTTCCAGGCACTCCATCTTTAAAGAAGATTGGTCAATTATCTCAGGCCCTGGTGAAGCTTCTGTCTCACAAATGACTGAGAGTGGATCATAATTAGTTTCCTTTTTCACTCCTTCAGAAACACACATCTCCACTGTTGGTTGGCAAGACAAGCTCAAGTCATGGTGCAAATCCTGGCAACTTTCACCTTCATAGTGATGAGAGTTGACCACTTGGTCAGTCTGGTAACATCTCTCTACATGTAATATTAAACTCTCTTTCTCTTTAAAGTGTTTCATGCATCTTACACAGTGGAAAGGTTTTTCTGAGTGAACTTTCTTGTGTCTTACTAGGTTAGACCTTTTAGAAAAGCCTTGATGACATTCTGAACACTAATAAGGTTTCTCTCCTGTATGAGTTTTCATATGTGTTGTTAAGCCATTTTTTTGGGAAAACAATTTAAAACAATCCGAACACTGAAATGGTTTCTCTCCTGTATGTGTTCGCATGTGCGTTGTTAAATTACATTTAAGTGAAAAACCTTTAAAACATTTTGAACACTGAAATGGCTTCTCTCCTGTATGAACTCTTTTATGAATTATGAGAGAAGATTTTTGTGAGAACCTTTTACAACAATCTGAACACTGAAATGGCTTCTCTCCTGTATGACTTCTCATATGAATGACTAAATAATATTTTTGTGTAAAGCATTTCAGACAGTCAGAACACTGATAAGGTTTCTCTCCTGTATGAACTCTCTTATGATTTATGAGAGAAGATTTAACTGAAAACCTTTTAAAACATTCTGTACACTCAAAAGGCTTCTCTCCTGCTTGATCTTTCACATGTGTTACTTGATGTGATTTTACACACAAGTCTCTGGGAGGCTCTGACTGTTCGACTGAGTGACCTTCCATTATAAAACTGTGTATTGTGTGTTCAAAGGTTTTAGTGACACTTAACTGGTGTTCTTTCACATGTGTTACTTGATGTGATTTTACAGACAATTCTGTGGGAGACTCCGACTGTTCCTCTGAGTGACCTTCCATTATAAAACTGTGTGTATTGTGTGTTCAAAGGTTTTAGTGACACTTAACTGGCAAACTGTTTCCTCCTACAAGAACTATTAATGTCTTGTTACTGTTAATTATATTTGACAATGAAAACTGAAACATAAATCAATTAGTGAATGTGATTTACTGACACTGATGTAATGATGCTGAGATGGGAGGACAGTGAGGAGGTAAGTGTGATGGAAGATCCAGTTTGTGATGTGACTACACCATTATTAACAAGGTTCCTCTATACCTCTTTGAACTAAATGTGAAAAATGGTGTAAAGAATGAGTTACACATATAACTATACTTGTCATTAACAAACACTGTTTATGACTTACAACATACACTATAAAAACACTCAACAGGGAAGTGTACAAAAATTATATATTGTACACTATTGTTATATGTACAGTTCCTCTGATGTACAGTAAACAATAATACTCAGGCTGATATACTACTGTACTTGTGATGGCTGGTAAACACTAATACTCAGGTTGATATACTACTGTACTTGTGATGGCTGGTAAACAATAATACTCAGGCTGATATACTACTGTACTTGTGATGGCTGGTAAACTTTTACTACACGTGACAAAAGTCTTATGAGGGGGTGAATCTATACACAAGTTTTGAATTATTTCAAAACATATTTCCACAAGGAAGAATAATTTCTTGTCTACTTGTAATTCTTTGGTTCAGTTGGTAATACTTTGTCTATGTCCACTGTTGTTTACACCTGCACCCAACATAGTGTTCTCACAGTCTACTGCTTCTCTTCCCACTGCCATTTGTTCTTCAGTTCATGTCTGTGGGAAGGAAAGTCAAACATATTAGTGAAATAATACTTCAGACTTCCTTTATGTAACTAGAGACACATTCCCACATAAAAATGTCCCCCAAAACATATTGTACTGTGCTAAAATAACACTTGGTTAATATTATTCAACTACAGCTGCATCTCAATTTATGCTGTAGATGCATTCTTGTAAATGGCCGTGTAACACACACAACTCAACCTTAATTCTCCCATATGAAATAAAGGAAATAGTGGGATGTGGCCTCAACACTCATTCTTTGGTCTATACAGTATACTGTAGATACATATTTCCTTCACTATTTAATTTTTAACTATGTATTTGTTACTCACAATAATAAAGACATTAAAAAAGAAAGAACACGACTAAATTATCGTAAATTGAACGAGTGTTGGCATCAATCAAGAGCAGGCTGACAGGTAGATTCCACTGGTTTTGATCCTTGATCCACAGACTCAGCATCGTCTCCATGATGGCAGTCACTGAGGTTCCAGACTTAACAATTCCTTAATTTGGGGACATTGTCACATAATGTGTGGACGGTACTAAGGCCTGACCTACATCAGCTATGTGTTCTCTCTTGTTGCAGCTTATTACATCTAATTTAACACCAATAGTGATGGCCTTTTGCTGCTTCTTGGGCTGGGTATCACCCTTGGATGTTTGCCAGTCACAATGAAGGCCAAAAGTTATGAAACACGAGACGCCACGTGGACAATCACGAGAATCTTAATCAATCTCACTCCGATAACATCTACCGTCACGTGCTCATCCTGCTTCACGCTGAGAGTATCTTACCTCACCAGCAACGTTTGCTCACCTACGACCACCCGCACATACGACCTGCCTCAGTCGGTACAACCACCCGCACGCACGACCGCCGCAGTCGGTACCAAAAATGTTTCAAGTAACGCACGTAATTTCTAGACTGAAACGTTTCTGTCCCGTACGAGAGCGCCGCGAGGGCTGGGTCGCCTCGCGGCTACAGCACCCACGCCGTAGAGCGCTCAGTTGGTGTTTGGCCGTCATTGTTGATAGTGATCGCGCTGTGTACTGACATTATTTTTGTGTCTAATTCACTTTAGAATGACTGGCAAGTGTAGAAGTGAGAGTTCTCGTGGTGCTCAAAAGAAAAGGAGACAGTCAATTACTTTTGAGACGAAAATGAAGATAATAATGCAGTATGAAAATGAAAAAACAGTAGCAACCACTTCACGCAACCTAGGCTTCTCGCACTCGACCATATCTACTATTTTGAAGGACAAGGAAAGTATTCGTGAGGTAGTGAAAGGATCAGCACCTATAAAGGGAACAATAATAACGATTAAAAGACAAGGTCCTCTTCATGAGATGGAAAACTTACTTGATATGGATGGAAGATCAGATACAGAAGCGTGTTCCCTTAAGCCTTCTAACCCTACAGGCCAAGGCAAGAAGCCTGTTCGAAAGCCTGAAGGAGCAGGCAGGAGATGAGTGTGACCAAACCTTCACAGCAAGTCATGGGTGGTTCCAAAGGTTTAAGAACCGCTACAGTTTGCACAGTGTAAAGGTGAGTGGAGAGGCAGCAAGAGCTGATGTGGGTGCTGCCGAAGCTTTTAAGGAGGAGCTAGATCGTGTCATCGTGGAGGGAAATTATTTGCCTGAGCAAATATTTAATGTGGATGAAACTGGATTATTATGGAAGTGCATGCCAGAATGGACATACATCCACAAAGAAGCGAAAACAATGCCGGGATTCAAGGACCGAATCACACTTCTGTTGGGGGGGAATGTAGCTGGTTTCAAGATAAAGCCCTTCATGAAATATCATTCAGAGAACCCAAGGGCTTTTAATCATGTCAGGAAGCACACACTGCCAGTGTTTTATCGCAGTAATAAGAGAGCCTGGATGACCCTAGCACTGTTTGAGTACTGGTTCCTGACTTGTTTCACTCCACGACCCAAGGAGTATTGTCTGCAACAAGGGATTGCATTCAAGATTTTGTTAATTTTGGATAATGCTCCGGGACACCCACCACACCTGGACGACATGCACCCTGATGTTAAGGTAGTCTACATTCCACCTAACACTACCTCTGTCATCCAACCCATGGATCAAGGTGCTATTGCAGCTTTTAAAGCTAATTATTTACGTGCGACCTTCGCTCAGGCCGTTGCTGCTACTGAAGGTGAGAAAACGCTCAAGAGAGGTTTGGAAGGACTACAACATTTTGAAACGTGTAAAGAACATCAGTGCAGCATGGGATGAGGTTACAGGTCAGTGCGTGAATGGAATATGGAAGAAAGCCCTGAAAAGATATGTGAAGAGTTTCAGAGGGTTTAATGAAGATGAAGTAATTTCTGAGATTAGTAACAAGATAGTGGAGTTAGGTAAACAGTTTGAGTTAGAAATTGATAATGAAGATGTTGAGCAGTTGGTTGAAAGTGTAGCAGAAGAGCTCAGTAACGAGGATCTTATTGAACTGGAAGGGCAGAAAAATGCAAAGGAAGAAGAGAGTCTAAATGTAGAAGAAGAACCGGCACCCCCATAAATTTTTCAGTGAAGCAAATGGCAGAGGAATTTGCTACTATTAATAAGGGGATGCAATTGTTTGACAGAATGGATCAAAATGTTGAGCGTTTTGCAAAAGTTGACAGAATGATCCAAGATGCACTTGCTTGCTACAGGGAGATTTACAATGAAAAAAAAAGAGCAAACTGTGCAGTCTAAATTGGACATATATTTTAACAAGTCTCCCATTGCTGTCTCCTCACGCCCCACCAGTGCTGCCTCTTCACTCCCTCAAGATGATCCAATCCCTTCAACCATCAAGTTTCCCCTGTACATAAACCTGTCTGAAGAAAGTAACATTGATGACCCACCCAGCCCTGTCTCCTCCTCTGCTTCATCCAGTTAATGTTGTCTCCAAGTATAATTAGAAACTCATGGGGCCCCGTGTGCATTCAGCTGACTACATTAAGGTAAGTGCACAGTCACACTGTACCCATTCTTTAGTATTGATTACTTCTACAGTACTGTACTGTATTTCATTTTAGATGTTTTATGTTATTTTTTTTTTCATTTTTGACTTACGACCTGGATTTAGGTCCCTAACCCCATCGTAAGTCGGGGAGCAGCTGAATATATATATATATATATATATATATATATATATATATATATATATATATATATATATATATATATATATATATATATATATATTTATATATATATATATATATATATATATATATATATATATATATATATATATATATATATATATATATATATAGGTTTAGTCTGCCGCATTTTCTACTGAAATTTTTAATTTACCTACAGTACTAGCCAAACAGCCGCTGTGGCGGTGCAATGTTCTGTTCAGTGTTTATCAACTTTTTTTTCATATCTCTTATTTCATTTAAGTTGTCTTGTTGCAGATGAGTATGGTGCTATGTCTATATTGATTATCAGCCTTTTCTCATTTCATTTCTCAATGTTGTGTTACTGTACTGTAATGTAGGGGAGACCTGGGTAAGTTGGCGCACTTGAAATTATTCAAATAGTTACCGTTAAGCAGTTCACACCGCAGGATCACCACGTGTCATTCTGAGACGCCGCACGTCTTGATTAGAGTGGGGGAAAATTGATTTTGATGCTGGTAAGTAAATTTTATTCTCTTATAAGGTTTGCTGTAACATGTGTGAGGTTATAGACAAGTACTGTAGTATCCAATTTAGCCATAATTCAACTTAGCGCTTAAGGATTGTTTATCCATGAAACAGTTCACGTTAGGCTTCTTGATATATACCAAAATAATTTATTTATGATCACTGGTACGGCTGGGACAAGTTGGCTCAACAAAAATGGGGCAAGTTGGCGGCACAGTACTAGTTACATACTTTCCATTTTCATTTATTTGAATTAGGCTACATTATATTTCTGATTAACTACATTATATTTCTGATTAACTAATTTTGGCGTTATTTACTAATGCACAAGAAGCCTATTGATGATGTGTTTTCAGAAATTGCTCTAATAACTAACTTTTTCTTTTTCTTTTCAGGTGATCTGATCAATTTGCTATCAAGATGGCTACTGTATTAACGAGGGCAGCCACAGATCATGCATTGTTTGGCTCTGCAAGTGTTCTTCCAGTGGACAAACTTCCCTCGAATGGCGAGATGTTAAAGAACTGCTGGCGATATAAATGTGATGACGGAAAGTTTGCAGATGTCTCAATGATTATAAAGATGGCCGCCCAGGACTGTTCAGAAATATGGGAAAAAGCAATTGGAGATAGGCAGAATGTTCCTCTTCTTAGCCAAAAAACTATTGAGGAAAGGTTGAGAAAATTGTACAGTAGAGGAATTGAACTAAATAAGAACAAGAATGTAGGCAAAAAAGATGCATTTCAGGTAGAAATGAAAGAGCTGTTTGATATCTGTAGCTGTTATTGTCCCCTTGCCTCCTGTCAGGATGTGAGGTGCATAGTTAAGGAGTGTGACGGATATCACCTGGCATGTAATTGTGTTATAAAAGTTCCCAAACGTGAGGTGCAGTTTCTCCTTGACCAGCGAGGTGATAGGAAGATGAAGATTGCAGGGGTTGACATGAAAGTGACGAAGATGTGGGACAGAGTGACGGCAAGAGAGAGAAGCATGATGCGGACAGAGTTAGGAGACAGCTTGAGCAAAAACATAGATATCTGGTAGCTGGAGATATTCCTTATGTTGAGGATAATTCAGATGATTCAAGAGATATTCCTCTCGTCAATACTGATGCTGATTTTGTCCCTGATCCAAGGGCTCTGACAGACACCAGTTCACAGAACCGGACAAGACTCCCTACACTGGCTGCCGCTTGTGACCGATACTTGATTAGTGATTATGCTGGAGCTGCCATTGCTACTGCCACCTTAATTGACTATGGCATTATCACAAAGGATGACAAGAGTCAGGTTATTGGACCACATAAGCTGCGGGATGCGAGACAAAAATACCGATTT